GTGCCTCGAGGCATCTCTGCAGCCCTGAGTCCGGGGGGGAGAAGGGCGTATCTTTCCCCCCCCGCCTCGCCCGCGCATCCCGCACGACCCGCGGCCGAGTACAAAGAGCGCTCCCGTCACGAGAAGCGGAGGAGGGCGAACGCCGGGACGGGTCAGCCTTTCGCACGATCCTTTGCTTTTCCGGGTGCAACCAGCCGCTCTGTAAAAGTCATCCCTTTTTCAGAGTACAGAGCAATCGCTCTGAATGCAGCTGAAATTGCCCATAGTTTTAGAATCGCAGCCCTGGTGTTGCTTTGCAGACTGGGGTGTGTGTGTGAGAAGCAAGCATGCGGCTATGTCGCATGCAGTTGTTTCTTTAGCTGGATTACTGCAACATGCCTTGCCTGGGACTACCCTTGAAGACTAGTCAGAAACTGCCCTGGCCGGCAGGCGGATGGGAGGGAGCACATAAGACCCGTATTGTGGGCTCTGCGCTGGCTTCTGAGTACAATTTAATTGCTGTTGATCTACAAGCCTGCAGTTACAGAGTTCCTTCTGGACGGTCTTCTCCAAATCGTTTCAGCCTGTTTATTCTGCTCTGGGCCTCCCCAGCCTGGGAGTTGTGCTTCTCCACAGCAGCCCCAGACCTCTGGAGGCTTCCCCCAGGATCTGGATGCCCTTGCCCCCCCCCCCTTAGACCCTCAGGAGAGCTATTCAGGGTTTATATTCCCCCAACCTTTGGAAGAGCGATCATCTTGTGCTTAGCCTGGTTTTAATTCTGCTTTTCGCTTCCATTTTAATTTTAAATTTAATTGCAATCAGTTGAAATTGGAGCTTGGCGTCTCAGTTTCTCATGCTTGTGAACCGCCTGTGGTTTTTATAACTTTGGCAGTACACTCTTGGACATAAATAAATAACATACCTTTGCAGCCTGGCCAAAACACTGCACATTTGCAAATCATTCCCACAGAGTGTGAATGAGATTCAGCCCTGAAGAGACGTCTTTGGAGAACCATCGTGGTAAAAATAACTCCAAGCACGGGGACTCTGCTGTGGAATTTGAGAAGTTTGCTTTTTCTTAAAGCCTGGGAACATAGTTTTTTGGTAGGGTTCCTTTAAACACAGTTATGTTCTTTTGATTTGTCCATAACTATATTGATTTGTTTCTGTTACATAATGTGGATCTTACTTTCCTTGCAGAAATGACTGGATTACCAGATCTTGGCCTGTAAAGCTCCAGATGACCACTAGTTGGGACCAGGGAGGTACCAGAAAGCATTGGCTCTCTGCTGCCATCCTGTAGTCCCTGACCGTAGCTTAAATATTTTTCTTATTCTCCATTGAGGCCAATGGGTTATGTTGGTTATGTTGACCACAATAAAGAGACTTGACTTGACTTGAGGTTAATGCCTTGGACTTCAGATGCATTGGACCACAGGGTAATCAGCTAATGGCTATGTTAATAGGGGTGATGAATGTCATCATTTAATATGGTGTTTCTTAACCTTGGCAACTTTAAGATGTGTGGACTTCAACTCCCAGAATTCCCCAGCCAGCAATTCCCAGCCAACTCTGGGAGGTGAAGTCCACACATCTTAAAGTTGCCAAGGTTGAGAAACTCTGATTTAATATATCCAGATTACATCATTTTTGAAAAGTCTGGACTAACGCCAGTAGTGCCCAGTTCAATCTCCCATTTGAGTTCTGCCATATTTCTGTGTAAGTATCTAATTTTACTTCCGATCAAAACAGTTTTGCATATTCTTCACGCAGATTAAACATTGCAAAATGGGGGCACCATATGAAGAATGGGTGCTTCTTCAAGTTGCCTTTGACGCTTCCTAAAAATTATTATTTTTCTAGTGTAGAACCTTGAAGCCAAGAGTCTGTTCTTCATAATGTGCTTCTTTGAAGGGAGCACCATGTTTTTCTGCAGCTGTTAGTAAATGAACTTGAATTTCCAGGCTTGACTTTTCCATTCAGATAAATTTCAATAACAGCTTGTTTCCTTTTGGCCTTGGCAGGACCAAGCCCCCGTTTCCCCCTTGCTCTCAGCCCAGCCAACATCATAGAGTTGTTGTGAGATAAATCACAGGGACGTTCCCCATGTGTTGCTTGAATACTTTGGGGAAAAGGCAGAATATAAATCAAACCAATATAAAAACCTCTACTTCTTCTGTTCTTAAGGAAGAACTTACATTATAAAGAAGCTTGAGATGGACTAAAGTTATTACATGCATGGATTCAACTTTGAGATTCAGTGTTTTCAGATGTTTGTATTCTTTAGTTTGCTGTTACCACACGGGAATTGACATCTGGACAAAGAACGTGGATTTTCTTTACCTGAATTGCATCTAAGAGACTTACTGATCAGCCTTGGAAAGGCAAACGTGGCTCCAACTATTTAGTGGTCTGCAGAATTGATGTCACTAGCAATTTACTGACAGATAACTTATCAATAGAGATTAGTTGAGGATGATTATGTTGAATTATGGCTTTCATTCATTGAAATGTTTACTGTACAACTTTATGAATGTATGTATGTTTGTGAATACGTGCCCGGTATGTTTGTTTGTTCTTTTACAGTTTTGTTTTGTTTTACCAGATAATTTAATATCTGGTTTGCATTCAGGGAATGATGGTTGATTGTTTTTGCTTCTGTGCTTTGATCACGATTGCCTTCTCGAACCATCCGTAGCACATGTCTTCGTTCTAGCAAAAGAATAAATTCAGCTTTTCACAATTCATTTTTCTTTCTCTCTCCACAGGCTGACTTTTTGCTGCCTTCTGAAATATGGAACAGCTTGACATCTAGGCACAGTGACCATATTTTCTTGGAAAGCATAAAGGACAAACCTGAAAAGGGGGCAAATCTGAAAGAGGTTCACAAGGATTTTAAAAAAAAAATTGCCTTTATAACTTTGCTTTACGAAGGAAAATTCAAGAGCAAGACCAAGAAATTAAATAATTAAATAAATCTAAAGGACCGCTTTCTGAAATAAAGGGCGTATGATCACTGTACATCTAGGCCGCCTATCCAGAAGATGGCGAAGGCAGTCTTGATCGATCTGTGGCACTTAGGAACAGACGCTTGGAACAAGGGGATCCAGGACTCCATTACTGGTGTATTAGAAACCATAGTGAAGGAAGATGTCTCCCGGAGCCCATTTGTGTATCTCATGTGCTTCCAGGCCCACAGCAATGAAAAAAATGGCAAGGACCTGCTTCAGAAAGCCTTGAAAAGTTTCCATTGCCCTGGGAAAGGGCTCGAGGTGGTGAGCGCTGAAACCTTTGCTGCTGTTTTATACGCCCTTAAGCAGAAGCTGGATGAAAAGGACGTGGAGGTGGTCACCGTCATGCTGTCACCGGAGAGAAAATCCTTCATGAGAACGTACATTGACCAGCTGTTTACTAGCCTTTACCAGTTTGAGTTTATAGATCTAGGGATAAAATCTGAAGAAAGCCCCTTGAAGACATCCTTAGAGCTACAGAGTAAAACAGGGCCTCTCTCAGATCCTGATGTGGAAAGGATCCAGATGGAAATAAAGCAGTTTTTGGAAAGTCTTCCCAGTCTGAAAGGAAACCCCACTGTCCTCAAATCTTTATTGATCCCAGGTAACGTGGAAATGTACTTGTATTCCCCCCGCCTCTGTGTGTGTGTGTGTGTGTGTGTGTGTGTGTGTGTGTGTGTGTATTAAGGGTCTGTCCTTCAACATAGAGAAAATAGTGTTTTCTCTTGAAAGGAAAACAGAGCATCCCATATCATGCTCTGGAACAAGAAAAATGAAACAGCCCATAGCGTTGATCTCTTACCAGCAGTTGATAAGATGTAATAGTTTTTAAAAGCTCATTTTGTTGGAAGGAGGGCATACCTATTTATGCCTATGTGTGCATTTGGATTATTCGAAACCGTCTGCTTTCCTCTTCAAATGATTCAGTAAGAAAAACCTGATTGTATATTGGGTGTAGGGTACCCTAGTAGTCCTGCTCATTTTGCATTTGGAGCAGTTAAGGAATTTGCAGGAATTGGTATTAAACCAAACATTATAAATGAGAAAATGAGCCAAAAGTCATGGGTAATAAACTATTTTTAACATATTTTAAAAAATTCCTTAAGAAAATAATAACTTCTGAATAAACAGGAGGGTAATTTTTAAACTGGAGTCTCTTTGCTGGAATTTTTAATCAGATTAAGTTATCTGTAAGGAATATATATATATATATATATATATATATATCATTGCACTTCAAAAACATAAGAAAACTTTAACTTCTGCTTATGCTCTGAATATGAGTGCTTTTTTTTCTTTTGTTTTTAAAACCCTTTATTAGATCATATTTTCTTGCACGGATTCACGACGAGGACAGGAGGCATCTCTTATATACCGACTTTGAGCTCTTTTAATCTCTTTAGTAGTTCAAAGCGGCGGGACCCACCAGCCGTGGTTAAGGAAAACCTTCGAAGATTATCCAGCGCTGTTGGATTCAACCAAGATACGTATCATAGTATCAAGGTAAGACACAGAGTAACTAAGAAGGCACCATCAGCTCTTCTAAATAGGCCAGGTCAAAAACAGACATTGCGGGGATCCCAGAAAAGCCACTTTCTTGTGGCAGGGTTCATGAACAGAATCTTAAAAGCTTGTCCCAAACTTCACTGCCCATTTTAAGGACAACAGGTTCAAGGCAGGGCTATGCTGAGTCTCTTTCTCATGCTTTCTATTTCGCCGGGTTGAGCAACCCATTCCATTCCACCTTCTCAAGGACAGAACCAAGTTCATCCAGATTTGCAGGTACAGTAGCAAAACTTGGCAACTTGGATTAGGATCCTGGTTGTCCAAAAGATTTCTAAGGTAGAACTGGGGGAGTGCAGGGATATTCCCAATTGTTGGCGATATTATGCTGAGGTGATTATCCTTACAAAAGGTACAATTAAAGCAGGATGTTCATCAGTGTTTCAGTAGGGTTTGAGCTACAAAGCCACCTACCTATTGCTCTAGGCCAGTGTTTCTCAACCTTAGCAACTTTAAGGTCTATGGATTTCAACTCCCAGAATTCCCCAGCCAGCTGAGTGAAGTCCACAGAACTTAAAGTTGCTAAGGTTGAGAAACACTGCTCTAAGCAATGTTTCCAAAGGCTGCTGAAGGGAGAATCTTAAATGCTCTGCAATATTTAGGAACAGGGAGTTTCTCAAGGTACTTTGTTGGCTTAGAACTGGAGTTGTGGCTCCTTACTGTAATATTTATGGGCAGATTGATCTGGTTGTCAGCATCTACCAGCCACCTTTCTTCACTCATAGTCAATTCTCTTTCCACACATTCTACCTTAATGTGATAGTTATTCAGTCCAACCCAGGAGCAGTGCTTGTGTCCTGGCCATGTCTACTGCGACAGCTGTGAATGCCAAGTCCTCTGCCTCCCACACGACAACAGTGTTTTTCACAGTGACCAGAAAATGCACCCCACATTCTAGATGGGTGCACTGCCCCAAAAAGCAATATCATGAAATCTTGATCTAGTGGATGAAATCTTGATCCAGTGGATGTCATTACAATGGACTTCAGATGCAACGGATGAAATTCGCCATCCATTTGCATCACTTTGTGCCATTTCCATAATGAAGTCATTACACAAATGACATCATTGGAGTCACAAGTGTAGCACAAATGACATAATGTGCATCATGACATCACTGCACAAGTTATCAAAAATGATGCCAATTTGCATCATTTTCCTAATGATACTGCCAAAGATGACATTTTATCCAATGGAGGATAACAGATACCCTCTCCCTCCAATCGGTCCATTAAATCAAGGTTTCACTGTAATGTAATTTATGTGAAATTTGGAATGGCTCTGGATGATTGGTCTAGGCCATCCTAAAGGGAACGTTTGGAACCAAAGAGCGGGGCTAATCCAGTTTTTCATACGGCCCTGCTTGTTTGGTTGTTAACAGGTCAACCATGCCAATGACGTTTGGGTGATGGGAAAACCCCAACCAGATAGCTATGATGGAATCGTAACCAATCAAAGAGGCGTGACTGTAGCGGCTCCTGGAGCAGACTGCATTCCTGTGCTATTTGCTGACCCGGTCCAAAAAGTGTGCGGGGCTGCTCATTCAGGTAATCAAACTCCTGTGGCTTGTGGGCATCGGACACACGTATGGTCCAGCTTTCCATACATTTCCAATTTAGGCACGCTGTTAGTCTCCTTGCTGCTTCATGCTGAGTTCTGTCTTGTGACTCTTTGCCACAGTCTTGTTATTTGCTGGATTGAAGCCATTCTTTTTCAGACATTATGCTAACGCTTCAGCGGTTTGACGCAAGGGAAGTATTTCAAAATCCCACTGACTGGAGTGAAGCTTTCCAGTGCTTAAGTTTGAAGTTCTCTCCAATTTATAGCCAAGTTTCATCGATGCCTTAAAATAATCGCCACACTCTTGGGAAACACAGGACACGTTTGTTAGCCAGAAGGGGATTTGACAAAGTAAAAATAACACATTGACTTCAGAAATGCAAAGAAGCTTGCTTGCTCCTTCAAAGCTACGCTGACTTCAGCCATGCAGATAATTGTGGCTAGCAAAAAACATGGTCTTGTATAACTGCAATTGTTCTGCCCCCTAGTTACCAACTTGTTCTGTTGCTAGGGAGTGAAGATTGATTGCTTCCGTAACCACTGCAGTGTTTTGTCACTACTTCCTGGTTCTTTGTTTTGGGAAGTTGGTGGATATCACATTCTGTTCCCTTAATCGTGAAAGATTTATTCACCCTGAGCTGTTCAAAATAGGTCACTGAAAGAGTGACCCTGTTTTTGTTACTTTAGTTTTCTTTAACAAGGCATTGATGGTTTTAAACCTGTGAAGATGATAAACCTAAGGGGGTGATCGTAAGCAATGTTGGCTAGTTCTTCTTTGCACAGTACACCATAGAAATGTTTTTTGGACACAGGGCAATGAGAGAGTCCTGCCACTCATTCCATACCATGAGTTAAAGGAGGGTGGGGAGCCTCTGGTCTTCTAGATGTTCAACTACACTTTCCAGCATCCTCAGTCTTGGGTTATTGTTGGATTACAATTCCCATTACCCTCATCAGCAGAACAAGGAGATAACAAGCATCATAATCCATTGATATCTAGTCAACAGAAGATGCTTGTGGCTCTTCTAGAAGTTCTGGAGCTCTGCTGGCTGGGATTGCTAGATATGGTCGTTCAGTGGTTTCTGGAGGGCCACGATTCCCCCAGCACTCTTTAAAAGCACTTGGCAACCAGGATTTTCGTCACGTTTCGGTCCCCTCTCCTGCTGTGGTGAAATAAGTGAGTAGGCTCTTTCCCTTTCCAAGGTCCACTTCATGGAGTGGGAAGGAGGAAGACCCTGAGTGAATATAAACAGTGGCCCATGAGCCAGCCCAAACTGGTAGCCCTTGAATTTAGTGCCAAACATGTTCCATATTGAATTTGACTTACAATAACTGCAGTCTTTGAATTTGTAAATACCATACTGCGGCCACCTCATTAACCTACAAGGTCCCTTTCTGGATTGGCAACTGCTAGCTCAGAGTGTGCAAGATGAGTTATTTGCCCTACAGTGCCCTACGTTGCATTTAAACTGTCGTTCAAAGGCAGAATCGTATTATGCTGCTATTCTCTTGCCCTTTCAGTGGTTTGGAGGGATCCTGCTCAAACTCCTTCCAATCCCATTTTGTTCTCTCCCCTGAATCAGAAGTGGAGCTCTGTTTAGAATGAAAGGTGTGCGTGGTTCAAAGAAGCTCAGCTTTTCCATGCTCAGGTGTTAATATTTGCATTGGACTGAGGCAAAAAAAACAACCTCCAGAGTGAGAACTTGGAGAGTTAAGCTGGGAAAGAGGGCAGGCTGGGCACTTTTCACTAGCTCTGTGCTCTAGGCTTTTAGAGAACACATGTTTTATTGTGACAGTCCTGCCATCTTGTACAGTTTGGAGGATTGGCCTGCTAAATTGCTAAGATGCTCAGCGAGGTAAGGGAAAGGGCAACAGGATAGAGCTGGGGAAAGGATTTGCAAAGGCTGAGAGCAACTGGAGCTAGCTCTGCTGCTGTCGAGAGTAGGGGAGGTGACCTTGACAGAAATATGCAAGAGATGTGACCAAGCCAAAGAAGACTGACACTTTCTTTAAGTCCTGGGAAACAAGATAATGTCTGGAAGTGGTTCAGGCAAACACCTCCCTGATCACCGGAGCATCGGAAGGGTGAGGAACGTCAGCATAATCAGACTTGCACAGTTCTGTTCTGATAGCCTACCTTAATAAACTTTAGTTCTAGTCTTCCTGTGGAGTTGATTTTCTGGGCTGGTCTACCTCATGGGGCTGGCAGCTGCCCTGCTCTCCCACCTCTCTGAACATCATCAAGACAGCTCTAGTCCAAAAGAAAGGGCTTTTTGCTTCTCCTTCCCAGGTGGAACTTGGAGAGGATACATTTGTCACCAGCTACTGTCTGTGCTTTTATAGTTACATTAACCACCAGGAGGCAGTACAGGTAGTCCTTGTTTAGCGACTGTTTCGTTCAGCAACTGCTTCATTTAGCAACCATTTGCAGTTACACTGGTGATGAAAAAGTAACTTTATAACCAGTCCTCACATTTATGACTTTCACAGGTCTGTAAGGCAAAGGAAAGCTGAAGTCAGATTGTGTGAGAACCCGCAATACTCAATTCCCAATAAAGATAATTCCCTTGAGACTCAGATAAGTTCAAAGAAAAGTTCATTTATTGAGAAGTGTACAGCCTCAGAAGCATGGCTGAAACTAAAAAGCACTTTTCTTAACTCTTTTTCCCTTACTCCCCGCTTTTCATCCCATAGTCCTTCCGTCTCATTTCTCCTGGTCTCACGCTGATACAACCTTGGCATTCCTTGGAACAGATAACGTAGCATCTGCCTTTAACAGTGCTTTCTCTGTCTCCCTCCCCCCTTTCTTTAAATGGCAGAACCGAAGCAAGCAACCCAACAGCCCTGAGTAAGTAATTGCAAGGCTTCTGACAGATTGTAAGCAAGGCGCGGTTTCACTTAGCAACCGGGTTGCCTAACAACCAAGTTGCCAGTCCCAAATGTTGTTGCTAAATGAGAACTACCTGTACATGATCAGTTTCATCCTTATTAGGAACCATCAGACATACTTAGCCAGAACTTATTTGATGGGGTTCAAAGCCTCTACTGGGAATTGAACTCAT